GTGCACGATGAGTGGTTGGCGACCCCCGACGGGGGCGTGGTGCCCCACAGAGCGCGCGGGCGCCGCAGACGCACAGCTGCTGCCGGCCGACGTGCCCAGGAGGTGAGGCAACGTGGGCAGATCATCACAGCTCGGTTTTCTATCACGAACACCTGAGACCCGTGATTGATTTATAAAATTGGAGGTCCCGAAATCAATTGCTAATTTAATATAAATAGTTATATATTTATAGTATACTTAAGTATAGTATTTATATACAAAGCGAAATCGCGAGTATTCGTATATCTCACACATCTCAAGCTGATTTATCGTATTCAAAATCTTATACCCTCACCTATTACTCTCACAGTCATCGTCTGTGTTGTGATATTCATCAACGTGTGCGTCATCACTGCGAGCAGAAGTCAGCAAATTCACAGTACGGTAAAAGCGTGGTCTTTGACCTCATCCAGCTCTTTATTCCCAATAATCATACATTGCGGAAGGTTTCATGTTCGACAAATACGAGTTATCTTCCGACTTGGTTACATATAGAACAAGTTGAATAATTTTTTTGTTACTCCACACATCTAATGATGTGGAGTGATCATGAAATACATAAAGCAGTTCGTAGTTAGTATTATTATTATTGTTATTATTATTATTAATAATAATAATAATAATAATAATAATGTTTTAATGTCAGTTTCGAAACTACAACTTTCTTTCGGTCTTTCCTACCGAAATTGACGGAATAAATGTAGTACTTGTGAAAACAAATTATTCATATTAAGACGACAGAGCTCCCTTTCAACAGTCATTTTATCCAACATTTTTATTCCTTTCGTAATCAAGTGAGAATGAGAGATGGGTCGAATCCTCGGTTTCCTCGAATATTTCCTATTTCCAAAGAATCCTAGAATTCTCTTCCATTATTGTTATTATTATTATTATTATTGTTGTTGGTAGTAGTAGTAGTAGTAGTAGTAGTAGTAGTAGTAGTAGTAGTAGTAGTAGTAGTAGTAGTAGCAGAAGTAGTAATAATAGTAGTATCATTATATTGCCTCTCGGGAGGCTCATAGACAGCATGCTAGCTTTTCGTTGTGTGATCCCGGGTTCGATAGGGGCAAAAATAGATCTAAATCAATCATCTTTATTTTAGCTGTGTGGCAAAAGAAAAGCTTAGGCAGGAGAAATATGCTGACACTGTCATGCTCGCCACAAGACTCCCTTGCCCCCAGGCATGGTTAATGAATAAAAAAGGGCCCGGGCCTGGGAATACCTGTAGCTGGAAAAGTCGGCTTAATCCGACCCTAAAATACTAAATACATACTCACATATTATCCTCAATTAATAATTTGCTACGGGGAGACGAAGGATTTGTATTTTTTTAAGAAACCATTTACTCAAAATCCCGCGAATGTTTAATGCTAGAGAGAGAATTCCTCTTAGTCCCGCATCCCACAGATTTAAGACGAAAAAATAGAATTTCGCAAATTTGATTTTTAAGGAGATGTAGATGTTAATTCTTTGATTATATGAAGTAACAATAGGTAAAGCACGAAGTTGTTTTCTGAGACATCGATCTTGCATCATTCAGAAACAAAGCTTTCTAAGCCATTCAAATTAAATTGCTCGTTTTATTATTGTTTACGACTCCATTTCGTTGTTAAACGGGCCAGTTAATAAATGTTCATAAATATAAGCTTCCTTACAGATCGACATCCCTGCCGATGCCAAAAATTGTTTTCTAAGACCATTCGAAAAATTTGTCCTCTAATAGAAGCAGTGAAGTCTATATTCCACTAAGCAAACATAATTCATAAATGGTAAGGAAGGTCTGATTGTTGGTGATTTTCTAGGCTCCGAAGGACCCAATTTTAAGGGTTTTACATGACAATTTTAACGGCATACACGATCTTTACGTCCGTTGAAATTTATTATTGTTAAAGCACCGTGTTGGAAATAAATCTGTGTGAAGCGTCGTGGGTACTTAAAACCGTCATGTAATTTGTTACATCTTCAAACAAACCTTATATACCTTTAAGTTCTGGAAAGAAAGTTTCTCAAGAAACTTTCTCTTCTGATTTCTTCAACTGCAAGTTGGGGGGAAAGAAAACATTTTGATGGATTCCGACGTGTCCGATTTTTTTCCTTTCTTCCTCGTGAGGATGAGCGTTAACTACCAACGACAACACAGCAAGGAAACCAAATGCAGTGAAATCAGGGAATGTCGAAATTGTTCCCGTTTATGCCAATAGTTTTCACATAGTGATAGCTCTCTTGGGACAATAGGGACCGATTTTTTATATTGTACAGTAAGGTCAATAGAAAAAGGACGTTAATTTAAATGAAACGTATATTTTCTTACTACTTTCTGCCAACCACCCTGGTATTTTTGAAAATGAATATGAAAATTTAAAAAATTAAGTACAAGCGGTCTCATGAATAATTGTTACAAACGTCCATGGCGTGTGAAGGACTTGAAAATAATGGCTTTTTGTCAATAAACGTGTAGTGGGAAATATATAACGGATTTATACATGTCCTCTGATTTGTTAGGCAACTGCTTATGCATAATGTTCGGCAGTTCATGTTATGGCGCATTCAAGGACATTTTATGTACCTGTCGAACACCTGCATGTGGGTTACATAACAATAAGGGGCAAATGTCACATGTATAATAACATATAATTCCGTTATAGGCAATTTACCACTGTATTGGCAGAAAGCGATCTGTTTCGATCGCTCTTCAAGCCTTAGACGTTTGTAACATTCATTCTGAGATACGTTATTTTTAGGTTCTTTCATTTTCTATAAGTATTATCCTTGTCGACATAAACTGAGTTTATCTTCTTTCATAATAATTATTTTTTTATCTTCTTTCTCCACTCTTCAGCAGTTTGATAAACACGGCTATTGTATACTTCGTTAAAAGTTTCTGCAATGTAAATCATATAATAGTATTGATTTAATTGTATTTTAGGATGAACTATTTCCATAAACCCTTATATTATTGGTTAGTTTGCAGTAGAGATTTAAAAGGATGAAAAGTCTCTTTTCTCCTCATCACTGTAACAAAATTGTGAACGCAAAAAGTATGCCGCGCCACCTAACGCGACTCCTCTGGGAGCAAAACTTCAAGATTGATGGAGGCGAGTTCCTTCGAGAGGTTTCGAGGGTCGCAATAAAAAGTATCATAGTACACTTTTTAAGCACAGTTGATGACTAGCCATTTCCTTACAGTCCTCTGGCTGTGCGTATCCCTTTTGGTTTTCTTTTTCGAAGCCTTCTTGGGACGCTGCGCTGAAAGACGCTACTCTTTGTCATCGCCTTCAGCCGTCGCACCTCCAGAAAATATGTTTCATGGGAGAGTTTAATGTATTAGTTTATAGGAGATAAAATGTTCTGAGTCCCATGGTAATTGAGCGCAAAAGTATTTTGAATTAGTTCTACTTAGCGCAATTTATTAGTTTAAAAATACTAATTTTATTATTATAATTGACTTTAAGAAATTGTTTATGCGTAAAAATTGGGGTATGTAGTGAAGAAAATGTTTTTTTTAACCTGAGTTGAGATGTAATATATACAAAGTGTGGCTAATTATTGTGCGCTAATTGAGAAGTGTAATGGACCAAGGCGAGATAGTGAAAGTGCTTTCTGAAATGCGACATTCTAACGCTTTTCTGTCGCGCATTTACAATCGGAGAAATAAGTTCAAATTATGATTTCTAACCAATAAACTGTGTTGCTTCTTGATAAAATGCTAGTGTTGCAGATTGTATTCTGTGTTCAGCTCAAAATCGCGAAAATTGGCTCAGACGCAACTATTTGGACAAGCAATATTGAATGGAGGCGAAAGATTGAACATACACGGAAGAGTACAATTCCAGATACAGAGCTATGCTCTGTAGTGGGGTAGTGTCACGCTAGTAGTATTTTCCCACTAAGGTTTTATTTTGAAATTTTTTCAGGAGCACATCTAAATTTTACGAATCCTTAAACAATCAGGACTAATGAAGTATAAAGTGATAAATGCCAGATTAAATAAACTAAAAATATCATTTTTATCTTGCTAATACCTAATTGTTTAAATATCCGACTTTTTTGAATTAATTACAAAATTTGTGCAGGTATCACTCTCTATGGTTGACCAAATATGTGATGAGTTTTAACTTTCTAATTTTTTATATCAATACGAACAATGTATTATAATTTTCAACTGCATGTGATAAAGTGCTACTACTGGATCCTGAAACAAAGTCCAGATCGGATCCACTCGCATGACTGCGGCGTATTCTTTAAAGAGTTTAATGAACTTGTCAGCACAACTCAATTAGCGCACACTTTCATTAAGAAAATGACTCATATTCATCTTTAACGAGTGACTCTACTTGACACCCCGTCCATGCTTTCGAGTTGCGTTCAATTTTTTAAGGTCTCCGTTTATTTTGTCTCAGAACTTGGTGCCAGGTAGAAACACTTGATCTTTAGCTTCGACAGTACTGACACTTTTCGGGTGGGTGTGTGTGGTGTGAACATTTAGTTGGCAGTTCTCAACAGGCTCAAAGAATTCTACTAGTTGCTGCGGTGTGAGTCGGCAGTGTTTGATACTACATGGCGACGTTTCATTGTAAGAAAACAGTTAGTAAAACAGTCAGTTTCTTCACTTCCATGGTGTGACATCCAATTGAAATTCATCGCCAGGTTGAGTAGACGCTGTGAGGATGGTGTCATGAATGGCGAAGAATTCGTGGTTCAGAAGTTCAAAACATGCATGTCTGACTCGAGATGCTGCATCGAATTGTGTAGTTTTCATTTTTCAATTGTGACAAACGGATGAAACAGGTGACAGGTTACCAAGCTACGAAAGATGTTTGATGAACAACTCCTCCACATTGCGCAGACCAAAACTCTCCGAAAGAGGCTGCGTGTGATCTCTTCTCCACCACCAAAACAACGACACTAGCGCATCGGGCGAAAACGACGCCATAGGAGTTTCTTGCGTGAAACAAGTGATTTCTCAGCTCCCTACTCACCTGACCCTGGCTCATTGAGCAGATTTTTGGCTTTACTCACACGATGAAGAACGCTTCCGTGTCGTACAATTCTTTGTCTTGTTATCGACGATTTTCCAGTGGTTCAAACAGACGCCTAAAAAGAGCCTTGCAGTGGCCCATGGAATCATCTTTCGATGTTGTGAGAAGTGAGTACGACTGCCAGGGAGATTAACAGTGCAGCAAGTGACGTAAGTGTCATTTTTGTAATGTAAACTATCGGTGGAAAAATTAAAATCGGAGACTTCAGAACTTCACCGTACCTTGTAAATCTCTTTTAATTAAGTGCACTTTTTAAAACAAAACACCTTTTTCTTTTTCTTCTTACAAGTTTTCATTCTCACTTCCAGCATGTCTACGTGACTTCAAAATATGATTCCAAATTACTTCACCAATTAAAAAACCCTATCTTAGACCATCTAGTCTGCTAGTTAGCTTAGTTCTCTCTCAAACCCACCTTGATCCTAGACTGTGGTTTCCCTCGTAGTGGATATACTACATCTCTGCGGAATGTAAATCTAAATGAGATATCTAGTGTTAACTATTCCATACGATCGTTTCATTCAAACTCAGCCTGTAATTTGCGAGGCCTACGAAGCGAAATGTCACTCTCAGTTAGACGACATGTTTGCGAGGATGTAATTTTGATCGATAGGCAGAGGACGTAAGTTAAAACTTTGCTTCGTCGCCAAGCGTGTACTGCCTTCACTGTTATTCTCTGGCGGCTTCGCTCCTAACTATATTCCGACGAAAGAATTATTAATGCGAAAATATAATAGATTTTTTTTTGTATAGTTTTGATCTGCCTCCACAATTCGCGTTTAAATCTCCCTTGCCCACTCAGCCGATTTACTGTATGAGTGCTGAGACCAGTATACCCGATCTTGTTACTCACACAACTTGTGTAGAAATTATGTTCACCTATTGACAATGGAAGTTGACCTCTCTGTTGCTCGTGTCTCCTTTAAAAAAGCAGATACACTTTCGGGAGATTGACACAAATCATGTAATAGCTTTAACAACTCTTTTCATTTTTCTGTACTATACGAACAGTTAATTACAATTTCGATCTTACGGACCTAGACGAAGGTGGCTCAGAGCTCATCAACTGATTCCACCCACCTTATTTAACACAAGTCTCTGCAGCTTCATGTAATTCGAGTCCCTGGCGATTGGAAATCTTCCGACACCGGCTAAATAAGCTATGTACGAATTCAGCCGCGCTGTTCTGAGGAGAATTCTATGTGCTGGCTGCTCTGATCGGTATTTTCCGTGATTTCTCCGATCAACAGTAGCCGCAATACCGGAGCAGTACCCTACTCAACGAACCATGGACCCGCGCCATCTTCCCTCCTTTTGCTTTGTGTTATCATCACCCTTACCGAGTTCTTTCACACAGTTTCAATTAACCCCATACCGCTTACCCCCCCCACCTCGCCCACAACCATGCCGGAGACCAGTCGGGAGCTTAATGCTCATCTTGACTAGGGCATGCCTCGCTTTGGGAGTGCATGGTTAGGGAAAATACCCTGCAAGCCGAAGGTGTCTGGCGCCGGATCTCGCCATCCAGGGAATTCACCGCCAACCTGCTGCGATAAACATTATACTACACTTATGGGTCTAATGACCTTAGCTGTTCACATGCTCAGAATCACTAATGAATCGATTTATAGAACTCAGTCGAACGCGTATCTCAGTGAAAGAAAATTATGGGTACGTAATTCGAAATTGCAAAGAGAAATTACAATTTATTATCTGTAATCAGATAAAAAGGAAGTAGCAATTTCACATAGCATTCAAAACACGTGTAAATGTTTCTCGCCCTTAGTAGTTGCCCGATATTCTTACATACCAATTAGGGCCACCGTTTTTGTTTTCACCGTCTCGCTGTCTTTTCAGCAAATTCATAAATGTGCAAGGAGTAAATGACTGAACGATTATTAGGGATGTCTGATGTGAAATTCTGTTACACTGTTGCTAATTTTCTGTGTCAAGATCAGTACTTGCCAACTCAATGCTCTGTGAGGTCACAGAAATCTGCTCTCCTGCTTCGAACCGAACCGCGCAGCGAAGGAAGTGCCCGACGCGGTGACGGGCAGTGTTCCAATGATGTACGGAAGTGGGGGCAAAAGGTTCACTTCGAAAACCGATAATTAATGTTTTTTAAATGGTAATCATTATTTAGAATGTTTATGATACAATAACAATATGAAAATTAAAAACAATAGAACAGATTATTACACCACTCAAAGCAATATCCGACTCTTTTGTCATAACCAGTATTGTAATTCCACTTCCATTCTTTACATAACATTTTTCGAGACTGGTTTAACATTTTTGAACTTTTACATTGTATACTGTGTTATATAATATAAAGAATTTATTTCGCCCTGAATTAATAATTAATGTTATCAAATTGATACCCGGGAGAGGTCACATGGAAGAATTTGGACCCCTAGCTTCATTATATCATGCCCAATTCTATTTGGAAATGTAAATACTCGTGATTTTCAGTAACTGTTCCATAATGATCTGCGAAATCCGTGACTCATCTCATGGCTGCATGCTATCGGTAAATTCTTACAATTAATTATTATTTCGCTGGTTTTTGTGTGTCGCAAAGCTGTATAATGCCTGCAGGTTGAACTTTTTAATATACTTCAGTTCTTTCGAACACTAAACACTTCGCCATTGTTCCAGTATTTATGAAAATAAAAAAATCTTCTCTAATCGAAAGAAAATCAACGGGCATAGATGGCGTTCCACTCATGTTACCTGAAACACGAGCAATTGCCCACAAGGTTTTCGTCTCCGGCGACCGCAGTCTGTCTGCCTCCCCTCATTGCCCGCTCTGCTCATGGAGGGGATGGCTGCCGTGACGTCATTTGTTGGCAAGATAACTTTTCAGTTCATCAGCAAGCGCTCATTCCTTGGCACATTCACCGTGCCGAAATTGATAGTATTCATAATCTGCAGGTAATACTAGGAGCCATGCAACTTTATTAAAATTGTTTGAAGAGAGGTAAAAAAACAAAACAAAAAAACACCCAGCGTTCTATTACACGACCAATACCAAGCGCAAGACTAGATAGGCTCAACATTTCTCTTTGTATCTGGTCAATTTGGTATGACAGAAAATACAATTACTTGATAGATGAATATTACTTCAGACTTTATTTGTTATTATGATTTTTTCATTCAAAAATTAAACATAAAACATTGAGCGCAAAACATCGACCTTTGAAAAACATTGACTTCAATTTTTTTGCCTGGGTTCCTTTGAATCTCTGAAATGGGGGAGGGGGGTTCGAAATAAAATGCGTATCTCCGAGGAATTATAATTCCAAGTCTTATTCATTTTCTTGGGAAGTAAGCTAATCATTAACTCAACTCGGAGAGTAAAGTAAAATAAATTAAATTAAATTAAAACAATCCAAAGTTCTTGAACGTGTTTGGGGGAGGGGGATGTGTTCGTCCGCCAAAGAGACGCCCGTGGCTTCATTAAATCGATTCCCGTCGTACGCCCTAGCAGCTGAGAAGCGTGCCTGAAGGCCTTCAATGTGCGCGCGCAGGTGAGCGGGTCGCCCCTGGCGCTGTGAGGGCGTCGGAGGCGCCGCGGCCGCGGCCGGCGATGGGGTCGCTGCCCAACCTGCACGCGCTGTCGGCGGCGGTGGAGCAGAGCGCGGGCCGGCAGCTGGCGGCGCCCGCGCGCTTCGGGCTTCCGCCGTGCGGAGCGGCGCCCGCCCTGCCGCCGCCGCCGGCGCCCG